CAGCTCCTTGGGGGGAAGCACACGAAGGCATTGCTTGTGAACAGACTCGTCACTGCTTTTCCTCCTGGTTTTGGTGATATTTATTGCCCTCTGGATTTTGCAGCTGTCACTACAGTGTTACTGCATCTGAGACCGTGACCATCCCGTGCTGGCGGGCAGTCCCTCAAGCTTCAGTTCCATTCCCAGCGCCCAACCTCATGCTCTAGAGAATCTTCTTTTACTTTCCACAAGTGCTATCTCATTTCTCTTTATTGGTATAAACAGCAGCCCTGGAAGGACCTGGACCATGACAGTGAAATTCTCTCCACTGGACTGGTCAGATAAGCAGAAGCATCAAATCCCAAAACCTTCCCAGAGGAGGCCACTCTTGTGAGGAAGGGCTCTTCTGTACTCCTGCCTCAGGGACCTGCCACGTGGCATCCTGGAGGAACAGGCACTAAATTGTGTGTACTGGGCATGATCAGCCTGTTTGCTAATACTGTTCCCAAAACAGAGCCCATCAGAAGAGTACAAACTGCCACGGCACAGCCAGCCCTGCTGTTCAACAAGAGACATGTTTTGTAACCTCAGAGAAAAAAATACATAAACTACAAATCCCTGGGCAGAAGAGGTCTGTGAGATGGAGGCAGGAGCTCTCACGTCCCCGGAGGAGCTCGGGCTGGCTCCATCCTCAGTAAGAGCGATTTCAAAACAAGTATTTCTTCCAGGATGTCACATGGAAAGAGACTGTCAGAAAGCTGTCTAAATGTGTTAACAACACTGTCAGCGGGGGAGAGAAAAGTGTTATCAGGAATAGTCGTTCTTCAAAGTGAAGTAACTCAGTGATTTTATAAGGAGTAAAAGATAAGAGATCACATCACACACTGAGGGCTGTTGGAATTTTCTTTCTGAACATGAAGCTGTTTGTTTTGTTAAAAAGGGGAAGAGGGGTGAAAGTGAAAACCTAAAATACTTTGACTTTCTTGACTTAGCTTTTGACAAAGTTAAAAATAACTCTGACTGTGTTCAGCCTGTGAAGCTGCAGCTCAGGATAAGCCAGAGCACTGGGAAACAATCCCCATCCCATGGAGCAGGCGTCCTCCTGGCTCCCTCCTGGGCGCCATCCCTGGGGATGGAGCGCAGCACGCCTTGGCTTGCTGCAGACAGACGTGGGCTGGTTCTGATTGGTGTCAGTGGGATTCTGGGTGTTTCATGGGATCCAGATTTCACCCTGAACACAGAAGCTGATTTTCTGCTACTCAGAGTGAGGACCTCTGTGTTTTGCAGCTAAACCTCCCTTCACATCCAGCACTAGCTTCCTTCACGTGCCCAGCCTTGCTCTTCTGGTCTAGATCTAAAGGAGAGTTCCAGGCATTTGCTTTGGATTCTCACTTTGAATTTTTAAAACTCCCACCCCAGCAGCAATGTCAGTGGTCATCAAATGAAACAGCATAAAATAATATGTGAACTTGATTCTGATTGGTGTTTTCCCATATACTAATCAACATTATCTGGAGAGGAATTAGCCTGCTTTACAGGTAAAAGACAACTGAATAATGATTTAACCTGCCTGATGATTGATATTTAAATCCAAGTCAAATGCAATAATGGATCACTCCATCAAAAAATATATGAAAGTGATAATGGTGGACAGCGTTGACAACGTCCTGCTTGACAAGACACCAACACTTTGTGCTGAAGCATCTCCTACAAAGCTGAATCTGAGGCCCGGACCTCACTGCACTAAAGGCTGTACAAACATGGCATAAAAAGAAGGTTTTCAGGGAAAAAAAAACACATGCCAACAAACTCAAGCTGAAGTTGATAAACCTCAGTGCGTGCAGAACAACACGTGGTGTTGCAGTAGGGAGCCTGTGGGCCGTGTGGACAGGTCAAGGAGACAGCCCAGTCCCTTCCTGGGGAAATTAGGCAGCAAATGCTCTCCTGAACCTCAGGAGGATGTTACAAAGCATGGCAGAGCTCTGCACGGCTGTCTTTTATCTGCCTGCACGGCTACGGGAGGCAAAGAAAGAAGGAAGGGGAAGCTGGGACCTGAACAGACAGAAGCAATACTGGGAAAAGGTCACTAGCGCCTGGTCAAGTGAGCAGCATCCATTCATCCCCCAGACATTTGAAATCACTTCAAAAGTAGGGCGGAGGCAGAAATGGTTTAGAGAGAGACAGCAACACCAAAGGAGCTTTATTTTCACTACCTCAGATGAAACATGTTTATAGGCAGTATATAAAAGTGGGAACCGTTTTGCTGTTGACTTTTTATGGCCCATTGACTTTCTGTCCTTTTATAGAAGAAAAGTGATAGCGAGCTCCCTGTCACAGGACCCACGTGCCACCTCTGCCCATGGGGAGCACAGGGAGAGTTGACCAAGTGTGTTTGTCTGAACACTTTGCAGCAAATCACATG